AGAAGTTAACCATTTGTGCCATGCAGGGAACTCATATATTTATTGTTGTGTTGTTGTGTGTTCTCGAGTAGATTCCAACTCATAGTGATTCTATATGACAGAGTAGAACTGCCTCATAGAGTTTCCTATATTTAAATTTTTATGGGGGCAGAGTGCCAGGTTTAAAAATTCTTTTCTCACCCCATTTTGGGGACTCCACCTCTAGACTGGATGTCTTGCCCATCTTACTTACCTTTGGGTCTGTAGCACCCAGCTTGGGCACTACACTCAGTAGGCATTTGGGAAGTGTGTGATAGGTAGATGAACACATGAGTGAATACAGCACCTTGGCATTCACCCTCTCTGAGCTGTGGGTCAGCCATGTACCTATGCTAAGTCCTGTGCTTCTGTCCACAGTCTGCAGACTCCACCAAGCGGCCCTCTACACTGGCAGGCCAGTTCAAGCAATCCCTGGACCAGCTGATGAAAATCCTGACCACCTGCCAGCCCTCCTTCATCCGCTGCATCAAACCCAATGAGTACAAGAAACCACTGGTAACAAAAAAGGGGGAGAGTGAACTGGGAATGTGGAGAGAGGACCAAGGGCATCTACTGGGCAATTCTGACAGCATCTGGGATTGAGGTTGCTTCCTTTACTAGGAAGCTATTATCTGCTCCCATTTTTCACATGAGGACACTTTGTTTTTAGGGCCATTATCTGTCCCCGTTATATAGATGAAGAGATAGAGGTTTTAGAGCTATTATCTGCTCCCATTCTACAGATAAGAACACTGAGACATAATGACCAGTTTAGGTAATTCACAAGTCATTTACTTGCAAGGTGTTGCATTCAGCTGGATCTCAGTTCTCTTAGCCCTGCCATTCACTGCTGTATGTTCTTGGCCAGATATTTCAGTTCTCTGATCTTCAGTTGTCTCCTTTGTAAAGTATGAACATGACTTTGCCTGGTGAAACAATGATTGGATGTGAGATATTCATGTGTTAGCAGCACCCAATAAGCAGCAGCAATCAGTACTATTAGTTTAGAGGCTGAAGCAGACTCCAGGCCACCTTCCCACTCACCTTTCCAGGTGGATAGGATGAAGGGTGGGAGCCTGCTATATGCCCAGGTTGCTCTGGCCTTTGGATCCAGAGACAGAAAACACAGGGGGTCCCAAAGCTGGGCGCCACCATCTTCAAGGATAGAAAATGACTCAAAAACCACCTCAAAAAACCAAACTCACTGAGTTGATTTCAATTCATTGCAACCCCCACTGGGTTTCCAAGGCTGTAAATCTTCATGCAAGTAGATTGAGCCATCTTCCTTCTGTGGAGCAGCTGCTGGGTTTGAACCACTGACCTGGTGGTAAGCAACCAAACATCTTATCTGCCACCAGAGCTCCATAAAAACCATTTAACAGGATAAAAATAATATTATACTAAGTGAAGTGCTTATTACTATAATTTCTAATTTGATAACAATACTATTTATTACTATAATAATAATAATAATGTTTTATTGTTAATATTGTATAAAATTGAGATTGACCTATAAATCCAGAATGCCTTCCTTATGGCCCTGGTATCTGGAGGTTTGATATCATCTCTTGTTTCTTAACCAAAACAAAAGCAAAAACAAAAACAAAAACAAACACACTGTGGTCGAGTCAGATCAGACTCACAGTGACCCCTCCTTGGGTTTTCGAGGCGATATTACTACAGAAGTAGATTGCCTAACCTTCCTTCCCAGGAGTGGCTGGTGGGCTTGAACCACCAGCCTTCTGGTTAGCTATGCCACCAAAGCTCTTTGTTCCTTAATACCCAGAAGAAATAACTGCTCTAGAATTTGTTAGAAGAGCCATGGTGGTGCCTTGATTAAAGTGCTTGGCTGCTACCTGAAAGGTTAGAAGTACAAACCTATGAACTTCTCTGTGGTAAAAAGATGTGACTGTCTGCTTCCATAAAGATTGTTGTTGTTGTTGTTGTTTGCCATCGAGTCGGCCCCGACTCATAGCGACCCCTCCTTGGGTTTCCGAGGCACTATCACTATGGAAGTAGGAATGCCCGACCTTCCTTCGGAGTAGTGGCTGGTGGGTTTGAACTGCCAGCCTTCTTGTTAGCAGTCCAGTGCCTCAGGCACTATGCTACCAGAGCTCCTCCATAAAGATTACAGGCTTAGAAACCCTATGGGGTATTTCTTCTCTATCCTATAGGGTTACTGTATGTCAGAATCAACTGGAGAGCAGTAGGTTTGGTTTTGGTGGGTTTAGAGTTTGTTAAAAACAGTAAGACTGACAATTCAAGAAATCAATCATTATTAAGAGTGAGAGAGAAAGAGAGGTTTTCAAAAGAGTAGTCAGTTCTAGAGAAACTACTGCAACTATGGCAAAGTGTTTTTTTTGTGTATATATCATTTACAATCTCATTATAAAAGAATGTACAGCTGATTGTTTTTTAAGGGTAGTACAGAAGAACAAGTTACATGGAATACACAAAATCTTGGAGATACAGGTTTTGGGAAAAAGAAACTTTTAGGCTAAACATCTATCATGTGTGACTTCAAAATAAGATCTTTGGGAAAAAAAAGAAAAATATTCTTGAGGCATTAATGAAGTTGGTTTGTAGGGATATATGTATATATATATATATATATATATATGGGATATATAAATAACATTTTATTGTTTTTTAGTAGGAAGTTTACACAGCTAATTAAGTTTTTATTTGACAATTTTATACAAATTTCTCCATAACATTGGTTGCATTTTTCACAATGTGTCATCATTCTCATTATTTTCATTCTGTTTGTTCTGTTCCTATAAATATTAATCTAATCTAATCCAATCTTCCTTGTTCCTCTATACATTCTTATCTTTGGTTTAGGGCAAATGTTGATAGTTTTGTCTAAAATCATTGATTGTTTAAGGGAGCACAGTAGTTACAGATGATTAATGTATAGGCAAACCTATTATCTGGCTGAAAGGTGATCTCCAGGAGTGGCTTCCATTCCAAGTTCAAAGGATATCTTAGGGTGATTGTCTTGGGGATTCATCTAATCTCTATTGGTCCAGCAAGTCTGGTCTCTTTATAAGAATTTGAGTTTTGTCCTACATATTTCTCCAATTCCATCTGGTGCCTTCTATTGTGTCCCTGGTCAGAACAGTCAGTAATGGTAGCTGGGCACCATCTAGTTCTTCTGGTCTCAGGCTGGAAAACGCCATGGTTCTTATGGGCTATTAGCTCTTGCAGGGGTATATTTAGTTATAAGATACCCAGAAGTCTTTAGTGTTGTCCAGGTTTCTGGGGATGGCTTAATTTTAACAACCTCCTCCCTTTTGATCATGATCCTATCTAATTGTGATTAACCCATCACTGGGCAAGGCACCATCTATTTCTTCAGGTCACAATACATTGGATCAACAGTCTCATAGGGCACATGTGTAGATATACATGTAGGGTTGTCATAAAGTCCTCATTGCTTTTGTTCTTCTAGTCAAAGAGAGACCAATTGATGTACTCTGGATGGCTGTTCAAGCTTTTAAGATTCCAGACAACACATAGTGAAAGGCAAGGTAGAGACTAGCCAAGAGGCTTAGACCATTTGTTTGCATCCCTTGAAGAAATCAAGTTCCCATATCATTTCATCGAGAAAATAAGTCTCAAGGAAGGTTAGTTTTAAAATATGTAGCATTCACCATGGCCCCGGTATAGGTTTCAGCTGCAACAATATATTGATAGATTTCAGTTTGAGTGTTATTGATTATATATATACACGAAACTCAACCACTGCCCTGGATCCAACTCATAGTGACCCCTCCTTGGGTTTCTGAGGCAATATCACTACTGAAGTAGATTGCCCAACCTTTCTTCCAAGGAGTGGCTGGTGGGTTTGAACCACCAGCCTTCTGGTTAGCAGTCAAATGTGACCACCAGAACTCCCATATACATATATAGATAGATTATCAACCATGGCACAGACACCACTCTGAAAGGCTAACATATAATTTAAAATTAACCTGTTTTGTAAAATAATTTCATATAAAAAATTTGCAATTCTCAAGAGATAGTCATCATAGCAGATTTTAACTGTTGTACTGAATCCTGTAATTTTAAATAATTTTTCCCCTAGTAATTTTTTTTCTAATGAAATATATCAGATATATAGGGAATAGATCTTATGATTGAGCATCCAAATAGGGTTTTTCAGTTAAACGTCTTTTAACATTAAAGACTACAGACAAAATAATGTCCTTTTAAAAGTAAAGAAAGACTTAATTTTAAAGTCTACAGAAAGAAAATTAGCTTTATACCATAATTTAGAATGTAATCTAAGTGGTGCTCTGTGGTAGTTAAGGTTATGTGCCAACTTGGCTGGACCTGGTTTTGAGTGACTGGGCAGCTGAATGTACTAATTCCCCATGATGAGACTGGTAATCAATTCCATGGTGGAATCTGCTATGAGTAGCTGAGTAACTGCCTTAGGGATGGGGTCTGCTTCCACTATATAAGAAAAAGCTTTGAGAAAGGTCTTGAGTTTTTTGACATGCTTGGATGCTGCATATAGCCAAGTCTTCGTTCAGCAGCCTGCCTTGGTGCCTTCTGATTTTGGGACTATTTCTGGACTTGAACTAGTGGTCTGCTTTGTTGCTTAATTATCTTAGGACTGTGCCATTTTACTTGTAGACCTTGGGTTTGTCAGCTTCAGCAGCCACCTGAGTTAAGAGAAGCCTCCAGTTTTGGTGGCCTGGGAGCAAGAGGCAGAGCTAAAGCCCAAGGTTGAGGGGCCTTCTCTTAGTCCCTAGAGCTGGCACTTTGAACTCAGACTTTTAGCCTCCTAAACTGTAAGAGAATAAATACCTGTTTGTTAGAACCATCATTTGTGGTATATTCTGTTACAGCACACTTGTTGTTGTTGTTGTTATGTGCCGTCGAGTCAAACCCGACTCATAGCGACCCCTCCTTGGGTTTCCAAGGCAGTATCACTACGGAAGTAGGATTGCCCAACCTTCCTTCCGAGGAGTGGCTGGTGGGTTTGAACCACCATTGGCTGTGTAACCATTTAAATTTTACATGCTTTACCAATTTTAGTTTTATTAAGCCAGTAATTACTCCTTTGGGAAGAAGTGGCCTGAAGGGTTATTTGATCATTCTGCATTAAAGGCAGATAAATATCTCTAAAGTATATTAGTAATGTATAACCATACATTATATCATACACAAGTAAAATTTTACTGAAGACAATTCAAGAACAGTTGCAACAGTATATTGACAGGGATCTTCCAGAAATTCAAGCTGGATTCAAAAGAGGATGCAGAACATGGAATATTATTGCTAATACCAAATGGATCTTGGCTGAAAGCAAAGACTCAGGACCATAGTATTGGGGCACACCAGGCTCAATTGTGATAACATAATACATAAAATCTTGTTCCACAACCTACTTTGGTGAGTAGTGACCCAGGTCTTAAAAGCTTTTGAGTGGCCATCTAAGACACAGCTAATGGTCTCCTCTCATCTGAAGTGAAGAAGAGTGAAGAAAACCAAGGGCATTTGGA